TTAAATGTTGTAACAAAAAAAAAAAAAAAAAAAACAGAAAATTTATTTTATAGCTATTACAAGGGAATAGTATGTATTTATATGTGTATGTATTTTGGCAAGAATTCTTTTTGTTCCGTCAACATCCGAAGAAAAAAAAAAAAAGAAACATTATACGTATAAAAACAGTGTTGGCACATTTTTGCAAGAAAAGAAGAATGAATAGAAAACATAGAAAATGAAGAAAATAATACAGACGATGACAAAAAAAAAAAAAACTATGATACGGTGATGTCAATCGGAAAAACAGTTATTTGTTCATATTTGCCATAACAAACGAATTGGAATCCACAGTTCCATGGTTGATCGCAAAATGATCACCTTTTCTTAACCTTTTCTCGGAACGTACTCTAAAATTTGATGTTTTTAAAATGCTTTTTCAAGAAAAAAAAAACCCCCCCAAAAACAATCTACCATGCCTTACCGCTTCATCTTGCTGATGCAGCCAGTCTAAAATGCACAAACAAGAAACTTAAACTATTAAAACTGAAAAACTTAACAACTGAAATATCCTGGACTAATTACGACGTCTCCCAAATGTACCTTTTTCTGGTTCTCGACTATCATCGTACAAGTTTCCTTACTTATAAAAAACTTAGAGTTACTTAAAAGATGACAATAATCTGCAAAACGAAGATTTTGAAAAATAAACTTTAAAAATGTGAATTTTCCTTGCACCACTACATTTTTCAGCCTTCTTTAACCCAATTTATAAGTAATGACCAAAAGTCACTAGAAGAACAAATACTGTGCATTATTTATACATCTCAACAACTACTGTTTTGATATGATTCAAAGAATCGTGATCGATGATATATTCCATAAACAAATAAACACTGATTAGAAACTCTTTCTGAAAAAAAAAAAAACTATCGAGTAGTACAGTGTAATTATTCTGTTCAAAACAACTGTTTTTTTTTTCTGCTGCAATAAATCTTCCGGTATTTTTACTTCGTTAATTTCTGTTTTACAGCTAATTGATCAAAAAACCGTGTGTTCCTAAGCTGCTTAATTTTTTTTTTTTTTAATAAGATGACCTAGAAATAAGGCATAAAAAATGTCAAATTTTACTGTCAGCTATAAAATAAATTTTGCTTGAATGATTATC